TGCACTTCTTCTTCTTCTCCTTCTTCCGTTTATGGCTGAGCATAAGATCACAGAAATTATAATGGCAGTCTTATGTCAGTGACATTTATTACATTCCCTCCCTTCGCCTCTTAATATACAATATTTTGAAAGCACACCTGCCATGAAGCTGTCTCCTAAAACTTTAGGAGTCTGAATTTCATTCATATTTATCTCAATTTTATTCGACCTAATTTAGACACCCACGAATTTTTTTTATATTCACGGTTTTTACCATATCTGGCAAAAATGTTGCGTTCAATTAAGTAGATCAGCATAGTAAATAAGTGACTAACTAAAATTAATTAATCAAGTATTTATATGACGAAATATGTACGTGTAGATAGTTGATCGTGAAGGCTATTAAGGTGTAACTGCATGCACACCTTTTCTTACATAGGGACAGATAAGGTCTGTCTGCAGGTGTCTCTCGCAATTCTAATTTTATTATCCAACCAACGCTGATTGGATGGACATGCATAAAATTCAATTAATGAAAATTCAATTTAGTTTGTCAAACTTTTCAAGAGGATACTTTGTTACTAACGGGTTTTAAGCATGAAATTTTCACTTAGGGACGCAAACCAGGTTCAACCCAGATTATTTTGAGACCATCTCAGTTTGAAAGACAAACCCTTTAGAAATAATATTTCGAGTGGAACTTGTGCAGATGCGCAAAATTCAGCGACTTATGGGCGCCGCAAGTTCGCGAAAAAGCTCGGTTTTCAAGCGAAACCTGTGTCTTCCGGCGGTAACCGAGCTTTTTCGCGAACTTACAGCGCTCAGAACTTGCTGAATTTTGCACATCTGTCCAAGTTTCGAACGAAATTTTGTTCCTAAAGAGTTGGTCTTTTAAATTGAGGTGATCAAAAAATAATCTGGGTTGAACATGGTTTGCGTTCCCATTGTTAGAATGCAACTCGCTTCATGTTTTTTGTGTGGCTACTTTATTCACAATTTTTTGTACCTTTTTTCTCCTCAGTTAGTTACCTACTTCTTGTTACTGTTATACTGCTGACATCAGTGCGAGTCTATTAATTAGATTCTATACGTTCGTCAAGCATGATTGGATGGACGGGGCGCGAGCATCTTCAAGGTGATTCAGGTGTCTTTTCATCTTCATCGTGTGCACTATGCATGTAACTTTTGTTATACAATATAAATTGTAGGGTGCAATTTTGCCGAATAATTTTGGAGATCATGCAACATGCACAGAGTTCTTGGATAGAATATTATTACACTCTTAGAAAAGAGGTGTTAAATCATTTGATATTCTATTTTATACGGTTTGGTATAAATCAGAGCTTACTGGAGTACATATTTATTGCATAATATGACTCTACCGGTAATAACGGGCATTACTGTTTAGTAACAAATGAGAAATTTATTACTGAGAAACAAACTGCTACCAATCGGATAGGAAGTTATTACCAAATCAATACCAGTATATGACTCTACCAGATTTTTAAGGGTTTATTATCCGAGTACATTTGCCCATTGAATGACATGTAGCGTGCAAATTTGTATATGCATTTTGTATGAAAAGGATACTTTTGCAGGTGCGGTCTTAAGTAGGCCTTCGCTCTGCATGGTATATTCTTGTTGTTGTCAAAATGTACATAAAACCTGAGGATGAGCAGCAAAATAATATTTATTCGTCCAGGTGTTGATCTTACACGATCCCATTTAATTTGTGAAATACATTTGTGTTGAGAGAGTTTGAAAATCCTTGGCAAAATGGGCTACGTAACTTACAATGGAGGTCTCCCAACGTATGCTCACAGATTTGGACCAAACTAGCGTCAATCGATCACAAATATAATTGGTATGAAATTTGCAAATGGTACTGTCTGTCAATTCTCAAGTTTAGAGAAGATATTTGCATAAAAAGAGGAGAAAATACACCCCAAGACTTACAAATTTTTCATTTTCCAAATTTGCTGATCATTTTTCGTGATTTTTATGCAAATATCTCCGCCAAACCTGCGCGGAGATAATGCAGTTTGCAAATTTTATGCTAATTATATTTGTGATCAATTGACGCTAGTCTGCTCCCAAATTTGTGAGCATACGTTGAGAGACCTCCATTAATTGTTAGTATTCGCACATATGTCATGAGAACAACCCTTTTGCTGGCTTCTCATCACCAATAATTAAGTTAGTCTCACTCTCATAAAGAACAAACAATCGAATTTACTTAGCATAAATCAACACCACAGTGTAAATTGAGTTATGGAACCTCTGCTCTGTTGACATTTCTCTGGAATCATTTTCGCAGAAAGTCACGAACATCTCGTTCTCTTATTGTGTAAATATTTATTTGCAGTTTTGGTTGGCTAAAATATGGATGAAATGAAATGGTTGGGGAACTTTTCCCTAATAATATTGGAATCTTGGTGGGTGGCGTTTTCCGTTCTGTACTTATTGCTCTGAGGATAAAATAATAAAGTTCACCCCAACAATAAGAGAAAGGAGGAGAGGATGAGTCTCTGGGGATCTTATACTCTGCATAATAAAATGGACAGGCTAGAATTCTCAAGTAGTAGATATGAGGACGAGGCAGGGTTCCGTTTCGGGTGGGTTTGCTACATTTCTGGAGCTGGAAAGCAAGATATGCAGGAAATGCGAGGTGCAAGAAACTGGGAGAAAGTGCAAGAAACTGGGAGAAAGTGCAAGAAACTGGGAGAAAGTGCTAGAAATATATGCGCGATCTAGCCATGCGCCGTATGAAAGTCTAGCGGCTGTGCGTAGTTTCTTGCGCCTCGCATTTATTGCAGATCAAAATATTTCCCTGCAAGAAACCACTTTCTTCCCACTATTTCTTGCAATCGGTTACTTATTGTCCCCCGAAACCCTGGGCGGAGGGGAGGGGGGGCGGGGAGAAATAATCTGAACCGAAGAACTCAAGTGGTTTTATATTATGCGCATATTTTGGGACAGCCGATGTCAGATCATAGTTCAGATTTGTGAATCTTCTTTTCGGGAGGGTTGGTTGGGAGATGTTGGCCTTGATATGGACGGACCCTCTTTTCCATGTTATTCCTTTCGTATAGAAATATCTCTCCTGTTGTCTCTGACTGAATTTCCCAACAAGAATTCAGCTGGGAGCAGTAAATTCAACAAATTGCATTATGGATGGGAGACTAAACACGCTTTATTTGCTAACGAAGTTCGTGTCATGTTGTGACGAGTGTGTTGATTCTGAACTCGATATGGAAGGTAAAAGGCTTGAGTGAAAGCAAGGTTTTCGATGTCATGTTTTCTCTCATGCCTGGTGGCCAAAATTGATAAGTAACAAGACACTCGGGAAAGGGCAGAAAATATGCGTTAAGATTTGTTTTTGATTATTTTTGACGTGAACACAACCAGATTTGTCTTAATGGGCTCAAGAACTAAATAAACTTGCGTCTGAAAATGGAGGTCTCCCAGCGTATGCTTCCAGATTTTGGGCAAACTAGTCTCAATCGATGGCAAATTTGATTAATATGAAATTTGCAAAGACATGATCTCCCAATGGGCACGTTTGGCCGAGATATTTGCATCCGAAGAGGAGAAAATGCGTCTTAAAGTTGACAAAGTTTGCACTTTCTAAATTTACTGTGCGTTTAATCCTCTTCGGATGCAAATATCTCTGCCAAACCTGAAAATATTGATATTGTTCTTGTTGTAAATTTCACAGTAATTAAATTTCTGAGCGATTGACGCTAGTTTGTCCAAAATCGGAGAGCATCCGCTGAGACACCTCCATTGTGAGTTACGTAGTTACATACTCTCAAATGGTCATCATCACTTCATGTGCTGCGCATTCACATTACACAACTTATTTCCTGCTTCAAACTATGTACATACTGAAACGTATGAACACTGTGTATGGAAACAGCTTGTTAGTCAAGTTTTGGATACGTAGTAGTTTCTTATTATTTCATTATTTCACACTTTTGAACTTTCACCATTTAGCAGCGAGGCTCTCTCTCTCTCAATTTTGTGCGGACTGCTGCTGCTGCCGGGCAAATTTACTTTGGTTTAGTTCTTCTGACATTGTGGCTGGGGGGCTTATAAAATAAATCAATTTAAAACCTCATTTAGCCTGCGATCGTTCTTGTCTAGGCAACTTATCGCACACCAGTCGGCAGTGGCCGCGGAAGGCTGGGTGGGGACAGAGGGACAATGTTCCCACAGTTGTTCGATGTCCGCATCATCTGCCCAGCTTGTATAAACCCCTCTCACCCCCATCCTACAATAATAATGTCCCCAAATGTCCCCACGGCTTCCGCGGGGCCACTGCACAGTCTGCTTCTCCTCCTCGACCGACCTCGACTTGCGGAGGGCGAAAGAGGAGACGCCGAGACTTTTCTCATTTCACGTGATCTAAGACCCTGACATGACCCTATTTGCACTTCTTGTCTCACTAACTTTAACCAAGGGGAAAAAGTAAATTGAGCCTGGTGGATCAAGATGAAACTGTGGATGTGCTACTAGACGGAGAATAATGTTCATGACGTGGCCAGTTGGCCCAGTATCAAATTACAGATTTACTCTCGCAAAGAGATGTTTATGCAATGTTTATACTGAAAAATTAAACTACTTGCGTATTTACAAGGGAGGTCGCTCAGAGGATGCTCTCAGATTTTGAGCAAATAAGTGAAGATCGAGAACAAGTTTAATTAGTATGCAATTTGCAAAAGACACGATCTCTCAATGGGCACGTTTGGCAGAGATGTTTGCATCCAAAACACGCCCTAAAGTTGACAAATTCTACACTTTCCAAATTTATTGCGCGTTTTCTCCTCTTCGGATGCAAATATCCCTGCCAAACGTGCCCATTGGGAGATCGCGTCTTTCGCAAATTTCATACTAATTAAATTTGTCCTCGATTGACACTAATTTCCTCAAAATCGAACAGCATACGCTGAGAGATTTCCATTGTTACTTGATACGGGTATATTATAATGTAGCTAATTTTTTGAATTCCATTATTTCAGGAGGAGACAAAGACGAACCGAAAGGAAGGAAAGAAAACGTGGATTTTAGACCCAGGAAGTAAGAAAAGAAGGCATTGTTCCCTATTCATTATACAAATTATTGATCGCCCCATAAAAGTTGGCAATAAATTTTGACATTTTCATCACCCAAAAATTCTTTCACCTTTTTTCTTTTTGTCTGAAATTGTACAGCGTTCAGTAATATTGGTTCATTCAACTTTTCTTCGTAGATAAGTACATATCTAAGATATGCGCCTAAATATGTACTTATGTAGATGGATACGGAGATAGGCGTCGATAAACATGAATGCTATTATGTTGATTACGCTTTTATGCGCCTGGTGAAAGTACGGCCTCTGACAACTTTCACTTCCTGTGGCTTTCACCTCAAATTGTGGCAAACAAAGATTCGAGGAAGCTTTCTCTCTACCTCTCGCCACCTTTCCTCCTTCCGCCTCCTTCATCATCAAAAGTGGGCAAATTCGTTCCTGAATATTTAACTATTTATTAACAATTGTACAAGTTCTATAGTTCAACAGGAGGAAAGCAAACCAGTGGCCGCGGAAGGGTGAGGGGGGCAGAGGGGAATGTTCCCAGGATTGTTGATAAACCTCTCATTTCCCTATCCTACATTGTTAGTGGCCCCACGTGCCCCCACGGCTTCCGCGGCCTCTAACCCAAACCACCAACTTTTGCATTTCCATTCCATCAAAGTTCCTTCCATCCAACTCAACTTCCGTGGTTTTGCTGGCTTCCATTCGCACCGTAAAGTATGAATGAGGAGCGTTGGGGAGAGTGTTGAATAAGTAGTTTCAATTGTATAACTTTCGCCTCCTTTATTAAGAAAACATGAGGCGATGTTGCTTAATATATGGCTTCATCAAGTGTTGTGTTGTGTATATGTTGAATGGTCAGTCGCCCTCATTCCGGGCCTGGTCTTTGACATTTGATTCGTATTATTTAAGGTTGAAAACCAGGAAGGAGTGGAATTATGTAACGACTTGCGAGAAATAACGGGAAGAAAGTGGTTCCTTGCAGGTGTTTTGACCTGTAAGAAATGCAAGGCGCGAGAAACTATACTTCATACGACGCGTGGCCAGATGGCGCATATTCCTTGCACTTTCTTGCACCTTGCATTTTTTTTACTTTGCATTGCAAGAAATGCAGCAAACCCGCAAGGAAGTGTTTTTTTGCAGATAGTTTAACCTGCAAGAAATGCAAGTCGCATGAAACTACGCCAGGCCGCTATTCCTGCATACGGCGCGTGGCTAGATAGCGCTTATTTCTTGCACTTTCTCCCAGTTTCTTGCACCTCGCATTTCGTGCGTTTCCTTCTGTAAGAAATGTGGCAAGCCCATAAGGAGCGAAACACTGGGTGAAAGTAATCACGTGCAAGAAATTCTAGCAAGTGGTTTCATGCAACTATTTTGGCATGCAAGAAATGCAAAAAAACGATTGGCTGGCGCATATTTCTGCCACTTTCTCCCAGTTTCTTGCACCTCACATTTCTTGCATGGCTTGTTTTGCAGTGCAAGAAACGCAGCAAAAACAAACCCGCAAAGAACGAACCACTGGCAGGAAGGAAGTAGGATTTAGCCCGGTTTAAACTTTCATCCGAATCCAGAATTTGAGTTTCAGTATTATTTTCACATTTTCATTTGTGAGAGGATTACTGACCGAGGAAACTTTTCTACTTGACTGAACCTAAATTTGGTAACAATGTGAGTCGAGTGAGTTTCTGACAGGAAAAAAAGTCACCGGTGGGAAGAGCATATTATTTTTTGCGGAGTAAATGTCACCTAAAATCTGAAATTTGAAAATAAAACATCAGCTCAGTGTCTCAGCGGAGATCTTGTCAGGCCTTCTTTTTGACATCACGGGATGACGACGAGGACGACGCAAACCCATTTCATTTCCAGTTTGGCTACAGTGGCCGCGGAAGCGTGGAGGCAATGTCCCCACGGTAATTCGATGTCCCCATCATCTGCCCATCTTATATAAACCCATCGCTCCCCTGTCCTACAATGTTAATGTCCCCACATGTCCCCCCCCCCGGCTTCCGCGGCCACTGTACGTATGGCTGCTGTTGTGGAGTGTTCACTTTACTTAAGAGTAACGAATCTTGATGGGTAATCTGGCTGGATGTTAATGGCGAAAAGACGGACACATTTTGGGAGAAAGTTTAAAAGTTTAATGGGCAAAAACATACATGCCCAAAAGGCAACGTGATTTTGGAATGATGCTCCTTTTTTGGATGGCTGGCAGCGAGTCAAACGACAATATTTTGTACATAGGGGCAGTGCCGGCGGAAGTTTGGGGGAGGGGACATGTGGGGACATTAGCATTGGGGGAGGAGGGATTTGTTAATAGGATTTTGCCGAATTTCTGGGAGGACAATGTCCCCCTGTTTCCGCCGCCAATGTATAAAGGGGGGATGAGTAAAACTATGATATTTTGTACATCAGGGCAGTGGCCGCGGAAGTTGGGGGCGGGGGCATGTGGGGACATTAGCATTGTGGGATTGGGGGAGGTGACAAGACACGATTTTGTTGAATTTCTGGGAGGACATTGTCCCCCTGCTTCCGCCGCCAATGCATAAAGGGGGGATGAGACTCATCAAAAATATCTATTCTGATGCGTTTATACAGATAAATTGCGTAGTAAATGATGGCTTGAGGGGAAAGTAAGTAGGCTCCTAAGACGGCGTAATGACATGGGCGTGTTAAAATCCGTCCAATATCGCATTACTTTCCGGGTAGATTTTCGTAACGGATAATATTTCCAACTTATTCTTCGAGATGTTCAGAAAAGCGATAAAGTTTTTAGTTGCTTATTAGAAAAGAAAGTAAGCTGTAAGCTGCGACCAATCAATAAATTTGGGGAGAATGACAACAAGCTTATTTAGAATATTTTGTTAGTGGCTTCATCAAACTGGTGGAATTATTCATGCATAATAGCAATGGGTGGGGAAAAGCATCTAAGCTCCCTTCATTTATTCCGGCTTAACACATTCATCATAAATCAGGTGGTGGTGAAAGGAGAGAGATTTAGTTGGAAGTGGGAAAGAAAATAAAGCAGTGTTTCGGGGTTTGCGGCATTTCTTGCGATGGAAAGGAACAACGGGAGAAATGCGAGGTGCAAGAAACTGGGAGAAATATGCGCCATCTAGCCACGCACAGGATGAAGTATAGCGGCGGGAAGAGTAGTTTCTTGCGTCTTGCATTTCTTGCAGGTCAAAATATTTAGCTGCAAGAAACCACTTTCTTGCCCTTATTTCTTGCAAGTGGTTACTTTCACCCGAAGCACTGGTAAAAAACGATCAAAATTCAGGGAAAAACGAGGTCCAATTTGTTACATTTCTTGCACTGTAATACAAGAAAGGCTAGAACTGCGAGGTGAAAGAAACTGGGAGAAAGTGCAAGAAATGTGCGCCATCTAGCCACGCGCCGTATGAAGTACATCGAATTTTCGCGTCAAAACCGCTCCAAGAAACCACTTTCTTTCAGTTATTTCTTCCAAATGGTTACTTTCACCCGAAAATAGTGGACAAAGATAAATGCAATTTTCTTCGTGGTTAAATTATTAAACTCGATTTTAGCAATCAAAAAATCATACAAACTTGATGGACACAGGACGTACTGAATAAATCCAATTTCAAGTTAGATATTTGAATAGAAAGTTTGTTAAATAATTTCCTCTGGGCGAAGAATTCTTATCTTGATGAGTCTCCATTAATTGTGTTTCGTCCCTCATTTTTACGACAGTTGACAGCCCTCTATCTCCACAATAACAATGAAGAAGTTGCACAATGGGATGCTTTCTCTTCCCTGGAAGACATTGTGCTCCGCTTCCATCTTAACAATTCGGGATGAGACAACTGTGAAGTTGAATTGAAAGCAGGAGGAGAATTTCTATTCTTTCGACGATGGCAGCAATGACGTTCTATTCCTTTCATTAATTTTTTGCTTGATTTATCTCCAACAATGGAGAAAACCTTGGAGAGCGTTAGATAAATACGTAACTTTCTCCTTTACTGATCCTACATATACTTGTATATCTACGTGTTAAAACTGAAACACAGTGGCCGCGGAAGGGGGGGGGGAGCAGAGGGACAATGTCCACACGGTTGTTCGATGTCCCCATCCTTTGCTTATGTTATATATAAACCCTTCCCTCCACTGTCCTGCAATGTTAATGTCCCCACGGCTTCCGCGGCCACTGGCAAGATACGTATTCCAGTTAAATAACGTAGGACGAGATGACTTATCGTCAAAATTAGCAAATTTGCAATTATTTCTTCGCTCTGGGAATTTATTTAAAAGAATTTGTCGAGCAGGGAGTTGCCAATTAAAAAAATGTACATTCCAGATTTTGACACTTTTTGAAGGAGGAGATCTCAAGGTTAAGAAGCCTTCAGAAAAATTGGAACTCGTAGAAACTGGCTTAAAAAACTCAACGCCATTCCATTATTCAACTCACTGCCTACAAATTTGTACTGCCAGAATTTTAAAATAAATTTCCAGAGTCGAGAAATGATAAAAAATGTGTTGATTTTGGCGATGAGTCCTAAGTTAATATATTTTTTAAACCTTTTGGCAAAATGGGGAGCCAATAAGGCACCATTTCCCGGGTTTTGAAAACTGATAACTAAATTTGATACCCACACATGCATTTTTTAATATTTTGAAATATACTAAAATACGTCGTCGAGTCGTACGTTAATGCGGAAAAAGACCGGAGTTCAACGACCAAACTCGAAATTTAAACGATACGCTAATATCATGACGTACATGAGTGGTGAAAGTGAATTTAGCGAGTATGGAGAAAGTCGTGAACCTCTAAATGTTCACATTTGTTTTATTTTTATTGTGATTCTTACCAAACGGGAAGAGAGATGAGAAAGTTGATCTCGGATGACTTGACAAACATGAGGGCAGCCCCGTTCACTGTACAGTGGCCGCGGGAAGCCTTGGGGACATCTGGGGACATTAACGTTGTAGGATAGGGGAGGGAAGGGTTTGGGCGGAAAAGATGTGGACATCGAACAACCGTGGGGACATTGTCCCTCTGTCCCCATACGCGCTTCCGCGGCCACTGTTTATCCACAGTTGACTGGATTGTCCAATTCGCATAAAGATGATGACGTGCTATGCAAAAGGCTGGTTTTACGACTCACGGACAAAAAAAAACTTTCCTACATTCGTTTCGTTCATCTCTTTGTGTTATGCGTCCACTGACACTCACCAAAAAAGATGAGTTGTTGAATTGACGACAATAAAGTGTGTTTTTGTATGCACCACGTATTGTTTCCGAAGGAGGACAGGTCTCTCGACGGCAACAGTAAGTACGTAAGTAGGTATGTAAGCAGCTTTATTTTACAAAGTTTCAAATTGCATGCAAGAACAAGGAGTTACTTTATTTGGAAGACTTTCAAACAAATTTTGTCGGAGTGCGGAGCACTTTTTTCTTGACTTCACTTATCTGTATAGTTAGTTATCTGATTGGCAAATTCAGAGATGGGCGAAATACTTTGTCAAAATAGAGTATTTTGAGCCCTGTTGTTCCCAAGGGGAAGGATTTCCAGGGATGTTACACGCAAAAAAAGACGAGAATCTGCATGGAGAAGACAACTGTCAGTCGAAAATAGGGGTTTTGTAAAGAAACTAACTTTTTATCGGTGTCAAAATATTTTATTTTTATAAAATCGTGAAAACAATGAATTTTGACGGAGGTAAAAAGTTGATTTCTTCATAAGCCTTGTATTTCCGTAAGACTGTTGTATTCTCGATGCAGATTTTCGTCTTTTTGTGGGTGTAACACCCCTGGAAATTCAAGAACGTAACCCAAAATACTGTATTTTGCCCATATATTTTGTCCAATCCTTGCTGATTGTACAATCATTTACATATTTAGTATTTCTTTCAGTGTATATTTTTAGAATCTCATAACTTATATTTTCCAAGGGTTCTTCTAAATTTCTTTACACTTGCGGTCAGCGTTTTTTGATAAAGTCCGAAATAAATCAAGGCCACGTTTTCCTTCCTGTCACTGCGGAGAAAGCTGACGTTGAGATAAAACTGCGATATGGTGATGTTCAGTTTATTTCAGTTCAGGAGGGTGAGAATCTGTCAACCTCTCCATTCTCACAGACTTTGTCCCCGACTTTATTGGGGCCGTCAGCACCCGACAAATTATCTTAACCAGTCGAGAAGAGAAATTTCTATGCACATTTTTCGGGTGAAATAATTCTGTGGAGAGGTTCGGTTCACACATGCGGTTTTTTTTACATCCTGATCTGAATATCTTTACCATTTTTGCGGCCGAGCGGGGAATGTGGTGCGGGTTTGGCTGCCTCGTTGGGAATATTGATTCAGGTTTATACTTGATCATTCGAATAGAATTTTAACTTGCATGAGTTCCAAACTGGATGAAAGCTCGGATCGGATGGAGGGCTATTGAAACTTGAAATGTGACAAGTGAAAGTGCCTCAACAACATTCACTGCCTGCTTTTGAAGCACTTCTTCCATGACGTAATGTCATGCAGATGCAGTGTTGTGAGCTGGATTGAGCTTAAGCCGCTTGACTTTTAGTGGTAGCATTCATAATTTGGAATGGAGGTCTCCCAGCTAAAGCGATCCGATTTTGGGCAAATTAGTATCAAGTGATCGCAAATTTAATTAGTATGAAATTTGCGAAAGGCACGATCTCCCAATGGGCACGTTTGGCAGAGATATTTGCATCTGAAGAGGAGAAAGCGCGCAGTAAAGCTGGAAAGTGTAAAATTTGTCGACTTTATGAAGCATTTTTTTCCTATTTGGATGCAAATAGGTCTGCCAAACGTGCCTTTTGCAAATTTGAATTCTATATTAATTGAATTTGTGATCGATTGAATTGAAAGAATTGGGATATATTTGCATCCAAAAAGGAGAAAATGCGTCATAAAGTCGACAAATGTAACACTTTCCAAATTTACCGTGCGCTTTCTCCTCTTCGGATGCAAGTACCTCTGCCAAACGTGCCCATTGGGAGATCGTGTCTCCTACAAATTTCGTATTTATTAAATTTGTGACCAGATTGACACTTATTTGCCAAAAATCGGATCGCATACGTTGGGAGACCTCGATTGTTCGAATATTTCGGAGGTTTACTATTGTTGCCGCAACTTCTTGTTGAAGATGTAGTTAGGAGTTAATGGCGTAAGATATTTTTGTACGAGGGGAGAGAGAAAGAGAAGAAAAGAAGAGGGGAGAATCGACTAATGGCACATTTGTCGCAATACAACTCCCTACTTTGCACTGTTATGGATTAGAGTAAACTTTCAACATGGAAAAGGAGGTGACATTCTAGAAACCCTGGAAAAAAAGTCCATCCTTCAATTAGATCTTCTCGTTTAATCCGTACGCTTTTTACGCAATTCTACTTGGATTTGACATCGTAACGAGGACGCAAGAAGTTGCGACATTCCCGATTAAAAGTGAAAGTCAACAATGTATTTAGAAAAATAAAAATGAAGTCTTGTTGGTTTAGTTTACATCGTCAAAAACCCGGCAGGCAGCCAGGCAGGGGACTCCACCGTCCGAGACGGAATATGTATGCATGTATGTATGCAATAATGGGGGCGCAGGCCAGGTTCAACCCTGATTATTTTTTGACCAGCTCAGGTTGATAGACAAACTTGTTAGGAACAAAAATTTCATGTAGAATTTGTCCAAATGGAGAAAATTTAGAGCATTATGGTCGTCGCAAGTTCGCGAAAATTCCTGGGGGCCGTCAGTAACTCAAAAATCGCGATTTTCTAGACCCCCTTTTAACATGTTTCACATAGGCACGATATCATTGGAGAAGACCCCCCCCCTCGCGTTACATAATTTATGGACAGGCAGCAACCGAATCGTTTTCGCGATCTTAAGGGGCACATGACGGTCTAATTTTTGCGCATCTGCGCAAATTCCGTACTTAAATGTTGTTTCTAAAGAGTTGCTCTTTCAAACTAATGTGGTAAAAAATAATCTGGGTTGAACATGGTCAAAACATAATTTGGGCTGAACATGGTCAAAAAATAATCCGGGTTGAACATGGTTTGCGCTCCCATCGTAAGTTTCTTCCCTTTAGTTGAGCATGATGAAACTTGAGATGGAAAGTTGGACAAAGTTTTGTTGTTGCTACTGCTGCTCTGTTGCTCTGCTTACGTACGTGATGCTGCTGTTTCCTCGACTTTCTTCTCCTTTTTGTGCCTCACTCACTCGCATCGTCCCATCAAGTACATTACGACACTCTCCATCTCTCTCATAATGTATACGCCATTGCCAAACCTGCCCAACTACTTGGAATTCTGCTGAATGTAGTGGATCCCTCCTCACATGACTAAAAAGTTCATCTTCACGCTTGAGTTCATGATCCCCAAATGCGACGACTTCCATTTAGTTGAGTTTCTTCGAAGCGTGCAAACGTCGGAGGCTATAATGAAGTTGAAAATTGTAAACTCGTCTGGATAAAAGTTGTTGCAAGGCGGAGGAATCTCGAGGGGGCCAAGAGAAAATGCATGCTTTAAAGGACACGACAAATTTGGCAGGGCTGCAGGCTGGCTGGCTGGAGAAATAATGTAATGTAAGATTTGAATAAATAATCAGAGAATTTTAGCGGATAAATTATTTAGGCTGGATTGGAAGCAGAAAGGTGGGTTCGGGTGAAAGTAAATAATCGCTGGGAAGATGTAATGGGAAGAAAGTGGTTATTTTGACCTGCAAGAAATGCTAGGCGCTAGAAACTACGTCGCATCGCTGTACTTCATACGGCGCGTGGCTAGATGGCGCATATTTCGTGCACTTTCTCTCAGTTTCTTGCACCTCGCATTTCTTGCGTTTTTCTTGGATTGGAGTGCAAGAAATCTATGAAACCTGCAAGAAATAACGGCAGGAAAGTAGTTTCTTGCAGGTATTTTGACCTGTAACTGCCTGTAAGATGTTAGAAACTACGCTCCGTCGCTGTACTTCATACGGCGCGTGGCTAGATGGCGCATATTTGTCGCACTTTCTCCCAGTTTCTGGCACCTCGCATTTCTTGCATTGCTCGCTTTCTAGTGCAAGAAATGTATAATAAACCCGCAAGAAACGAAACCCACTGATTAGAACCCTCTCCTTTTATATAATCCTGCCACCATCTTTACAAGTATCTTGTCCTCTAAACATACCCGAAAACCGTGATTATTAGAGAGAAAGTAGAAAGCAGCCATCCAACTATACAGACCCAATTAGTTTCATATTTAGATATGTATGTACGCATACCCATGAAATTTACCATGTTTTGTTGGAGAAACCTCCTGTCATCTAATTAATAATTAGTTTTTGGCCGTCACCACCCCACCCCAATTAAAATTTGTCAAATGTCAACTCATGTTAGTACTTATTTGCTTCATCCTCCACATTAATGAAGCTGCCATTCATGAAGAGTTTATCACTAATAAAGGACAAACTTTTCTCCATTTCAGGCGATTTATGTCAAGCTCTGAAATGCAAAAAGAAGGAACTTTGTCTGCTCGAGGATGAATTCACGGCTGTCTGCGTCAGCAAGAAGGAGCTCCACAAAAATGGGTAAAAACTCTACAGTTTGTCACTCTTTTTAATTAAATTAATGAAAAGTTGTGTACGTTTTTTGGCTGCTGGCCTTTTTGTATTATTAAAATTAATCTTGACTTTACTTACATAGCTGGAAGCTATCTTACACAATTTTTCAATTAACAATTCCCCTCTGGTTCGTTAATCTACATACGCAAAGGGGAAGATATTTAATGACTTTTTTTATATAATAATGGGAGTTAGAAAAGTTAGTAAGTTAAGAAATGTGTAACTGTGCTGGGAAAAAATCAATCAAATATTTTGAGAGAATTAATCACATTTTTTTTTGCGAATAAATGAGTTTAGGTAGATATGCGCATATATGTACACGAAGTGGCCGTGGAAGTGCGGGGACATAGGAAAAATGTTTAACAGTTCCTCTCTGCTTTATTAATCTACATATTTACAATTACTTAAGGTAGAAAATAGTTACTGACTTTTAATAACGGGAGGACGAAAAGTTATTAAGAAATGTGTAACTCGGTCTGAAAAAAATTCAATCAATTCTTTCGAGTGAATTAATCACATTTTTTTGCGAATGAATAAGCTTAGGTGGATTGATTGATACACAGTGGCCGCGGAAGCGTGGCATAGGGAAATGTCCCCAAGGAAATTTTTCCGTGGGGACTTGGAATTTGAATAATATTGCCTTTCCAATCCAGTATCAACAAGACAATTGATTAAATTTATAACTAGTGCTATTCGAAGTCAGCTAGATTTTGATTTTCATAAATTTCTTAGATTTTTCAGAAAATTTGTATATGTCCCCACAGTCCAAATTATGTTCCACGGCCACTGTACATATACATAATTCAATATATAATCATTTTCTGTAGCATGCTACATACGTAGGTAGACCACGTGTCTGAAAATAAATTGGACTTTGAGGAGTAGAATCCAATTTAATATCGTACTTATAGATCTAAAAGTATACTTGTTTATCTGTGGATGATACTCTCTTATGCTCATTTCCTGCCTTTGAGTGGATTCTTGAATGGAAAATAAACCCGAATTCAAGTGCCAAAACCTTAAAGAGTCCTCATTTTCCGTCTCTCCACTCGAGTTAACAGCAAATGCAAATAAAACCTGATGGTTGTACATACATATGTACTTACGGGTTGAGATAATAAACCTAAAATTGGGCAAGTTGCGTGTAAAAAGAGATATGTATCGTCCAACCAAATTACGCGACCACACGTATGGATGGACGACAGAGGTGGGCAAAATACAAGGTTTTGAGGTCCGTTCTTTTCAGAGTTTGGATTTCTGGGGGTGTTATACACACAAAAGGACGAAAATCTGCATGGAGAAGCACGTGCCGCGGAAGCGCGGGGATTTGTGGGGACAGTAACATTGTAGGATAGGGGTAGGGAGGGGTTTATATAACATGGGCAGATGATGGATACATCGAATATCTGTGGGGACATTGTCCCTCTGTCCCCACGCTTCCGCGGTAACTGTGGAGAAGACAACAGTCTTACGAAAATACAGATTTTCTGAAGAAATTAACTTGTTGCTGCTGTCAAAAAACTTATTTTATAAAAAAAAAATCGTGAAAAGAATGTATTTTTACAGCGATAAAAAAGTTAATTTCTTCAGAAAACTTGTAATTTCATATGACTTTTCTGGACGAAAATTCTGGTCTTTTTGTGGGCGTAACACCCCCAGAATTCCAAACCCTGAAAACGGAGCTCAAAATACTCAATTTTTCCAAAATATTTTCCCCACCCCTGCCGGACGCCGGCTTACTAACGATGTTAAATATTAAAGAAGGAAATGTACACAACTTGCTATTTTTGTGTGGCCAGAAATGTCATGATGCATAATTAATTGATGAGCTGTCTTCTATAGTAAACTTGGAATTATCGAATTTTGATCCATCTATTTCAGGGATATTATCGTCCCAAAATCGAAACTGAAGGAGACTCCGACCCCCCCAAAGCTGGAGGACGAAGAGAAAGAACAGTACGAAGAGGAGGATGACGACTCAGATTATTACGACGAAGATGAAGACTCCAACGAAGACTTTTTCTCGTCCGGCAAGACCAAAAGCGATAAGAACAGCAAATCCTCGTCGTCATCGTCATCATCGAATACTTTCAACAACAACAATGGGGCCGGTGGTGACAATAGTTTCAAGTAAGTTTAGCCTCAAGGCAAAAGTAAAAATCTTGGTTGTGACATTAACCGAATGTTGAGTCGTAAAAAATGTTTTGAGATTAACCAGTTCATTCGTTCTTCGTGAGACGAGTGGCCGCGGAAGGGGTGGGGACATTTGGGGGCATTAGCACCACTTCATTCTTTTTTGTATTCTTTTTCATGGGACCAGTGGCCGCGGAAGTCGTGGGGACATTAGCAGCAGTTCATTCTTTTTTGTATGCGTTTTCATGGGACCAGTGGCCGCGGAAGGTGTGGGGACATTTGGGGACATTAACACCAGTTCATTCTTTTTTGTATTCTTTTTCATGAGAACAATGGCCGCGGAAGGTGTGGGGGTGAGGACATTGCCCCTCTGTCCCCCTCAAGCTTCCGCGGCCACTGTATTACACGCGATTGGCCTGAGATTTATCTCAGCCGACGGCTCGCAACCCACCCACCTTTTTGCAGATAACAGTTGCATTCATTTCGTCCTGATAAGGACCTCTTGGACAAAAAAGGATCAGGTTGCAGCTAAACTAACGAAAAGACGTGACACTGCACTTTATTTATCAGAACAAACTCTGCTACGGATTTTTCATGAACTTGTCATGTCACAAATGTATAAAGTTCGCCCACATGAGTTTGCCGTGTGTGCATAAAAATTGACCCACCTTTTCTACCCAGCTGCATATTTACATGCAGTGGCCGCGGAAGCGTGTGTGGACAGAGGGACAATGTCCCCACGGTTGTTCAATGTCCCCATCATCTTAACCCCTCCCTCTCCTATCTACAATATTAATGTCCCCACGGCTTCCGCGGCCACTGCATAAACGTCTAACCTGCTCTTATGTTTATATTTATCTACTTATTGAGCACACCACCCACCCATCCACATCCACCCACTCGTCTTAATTGACTGCACAATTAAGAAGGCCTATTTATTATTAATGATGCACACCTGATTTTTAATTTAGGTCATGCACACCTTGCCCCGTCGTGAAGCCGACGTTCCTCTGTGGATCGGATAATCGGACGTATAGCTCCTTGTGCAGGCTGGACTATCACAACTGCATCCAGAATTCGCAAGTTTCCGTGGGATGTAAAGGATTCTGCCCGTGCAAAAGTAAGTCTAAATAATTGAACGCTAATTTGTAATTAGTTAGGTTTAAACTAATTAGTATGGGGTTTGAGTGGCATGCAAAAAAAACGGCATTGGTTAAGAGACTACATATGGCAGATGGTGGGATGGTGTGTACATGCCGTTTCTCCTCTCGGCGTGATATTAAAACTGTTGAGTTATGACCCACCCCACCGCGTTTTCCGTTTTCGTTGAGAAATGTAGTTCCATTATGTATGAGGCTTGTGTTCAGGGTTTCGGGTGAAAGTAAGTAACCACGTGCAAGAAATAAGGGGGAGAAAGTGGTTTCTTTCAGGTGAATATTTTGACCTGCTAGAAATGCAAGGTGCAAGAAACTACGCCACGACGCTATACTTCACACCGCACGTGGCTAGATGGTGCATTTTTCTTGAACTTTCTCCCAGTTTCTAGCAGCTCGTATTTCTTGCGTGGCATGCTTTGCTGTGCACGAAATGTAGAAAACCCGCAAGAAACGAAACACTAAGGACCTACTTGCAAGAAATAACGGGGAGAAAGTGGTTTCTTGCAGGTAAATATTTTGACCTGCAAGAAATGCAAGGCGCAAGAAACGATGCCCCCCCCGCTTTAAAGACTTCATACGGCACGTGGCTAGATGGCGCATATTTCTTGCACTTTCTCCCAGTTTCTTGCACATCCCATTTCTTGCTTTGCACTGCAAAAAATGAAGCAAACTTGCACGACCCGAAACACTGGAGGCGTTATAATATATTTGATGATACATACTCTGCCGTTCTGTTTGTGAGTTGGCAACTTGTGTTTAGTCTCTCTCTTCTTTGTCCAGAGATACTAAAAGAATTTTCATTTCGCTCATCCTCAGCAGAGAGAATATAAAGCGGAGAAGAAGGTTGGATTAAAATGTGGATATTTTTTCTTTCGTTTATTACGTTTCCTTCTATTACCACATCATCCTGAGAAGAATTATTATGAGACTTGGCAGCAATTTATCATGATTTCTCTTCTCTTCTCCATGCCGAATTCGTGTGTGTATCGCTGCTGTTCTGTGTCAAGAAAGGGAGAGAAACCATGATATTTTGCAAATAAATTTTAACGATTTAATGCAACCCGTGTAGCGTTTTCCTGCATCTGCGTAAGAAACTTGCTCACTAATTTATTCTATTTATGCAGGAAGGGATGGGTTAAGTTATAACTTCACTATTTTTAAGTAGTATTATAAAAAAGCTGTATTAAACTTTAGTAACGTGTTGTTTATTAGTAGAGCCCGAGCCAGGGTTTGGTTCCAGGGTAAAAATTTGAGTGATTTTCTGGTAGAAGTTTGGTCCGATTTTGTGCAAAAAAACCTTTATATATAGCGATTTGTGCAGAAAATTATGCAGAATTATTCACACATAGTTTTGCAGAATAAAATCGCTAGAAATTTTGTGCAGGATTGTGTAACGAAAATTACGTAAAGGACAAAATGTATCGAGATTTTGTCGATTACTGCAGAACTTGATGCAATGATTTCTACTCGGGTTTCGTTTTTGTATTTCTTTTACAAAATTTTGAAACTTTGAAACTTTTTCATTCGTTGACCAAACACATTTTTTAATCTTTGAATTCTGCTTACCTTGACGATCCCACCTGGAAAACGTGCGTCTGAAGAGCCATAAATTCTGACAGACAGACGGTCAGACTGGCTATATAAGCCTGGGCTCGTGCTAAACAAGCAGAGAGCACAGGATTGTGTACATCGACAGTCACTTCGGAATGGAACCGCATGCTTGGTCTGGGCTGGGCTTTATTGCCAGTTTTATTATTATTTGAAATATGTATGCATCACATTCTACGATTCGCCATTAAAAGTGGAAACCAACTACATCGAAAAACTCACTCCGCTCTTCCATTAGCTTCTTTTTCGCGAAGAATAATAAATAATCCGCGTCCTGCTGGCTGCCCGCTAGATCCATGTACATAAATACATATCTCACTCGTAAGACTAGAGACATGCCAACTTTTATATGCTTTATCCAGCAGGTTTTTGAACTTACTTCTCATTTTAAGAAATTTTGATCCGGTAATGGAGAAAAGTGCGCATATACTTATTTCGCATGTTTAAATTCTCATGTGATTATTAAGTTGCAGTGGCCGCGGAAGCGATGGGATGGAGGGGCAATGTCCCCATCATCTACCCATCTTATATAAATAAACCCTTCCCTCCCTACCCTACAATTTTAACGTCCCCACGGATTCCGCGGCCACTGCATGAACCCCTCTCTCCAATATCTCACAATGTTAATGCATCCAGATGTCCCCGTAGCTCCTCCGCGGCCATTGATCCTGAGTGAAATTGGAAATTTAAATTGAAGAAAACTATGAAATCAATCATAAAATCAAATGAAATGAATGACTGAGGCCCCACGGCACGGCTTCTGCGGCCACTGTTTAAACCCTTGGTTGGTCAATCTCTTTATGATTTGTCCCCCGATGTCCCCACGGCTTCCGCGGCCACTGCCAATTTCCGCTTATATTGAACCATTCCGAATTTTACGTAACATTTATTTTATGCAGGGTGAAACCCGTTTTCTGTCTCCGCAAAAGGCATACAAATTTGTTCCTAAACATGCGAAGGATGCGAAGGTGTCGATCGTCGTGGTGGAGGAGGAGGCACACCGAGAATTATTGAAATTGGATCATAAAACTTTGAGAAACGAGGATAGTTGTTTACCAACTTTAGGACGGGTGGACGAACCTCATGTCATGTCGTGGCTCTCGTTCTGGGCTGTGAGCTGAGCTGTTTGAGCTAGTGAAATAAAAGAGTAATCCCAAGTGTCCTTTTACCTTTATTGAAACAAGAAATATATCGAGTGGAGCGAATTTACTGGGGCTGCCTGCAGGGACCGCGGAAGTTGGTGGGGGACATGTGGGGACATTAGCATTGTGCGATAATTAAGAGGAAGAAGAGCTTATTAATATCATATTTGTCTGAATTTTATGGCGGAACAAATCCCCCCTGTCCCCCCCCGCTTCCGCCGCCACTGTGTTGGTCCGTAGTTGCAAATTCTGTCAGAACTGGGAGTGAAAGTCCGTTCTTGAAATTTGAGCCAGGATACGTACAATTTGGGTGCTCTTTACACGAGTAGGGTTGAATGAAATGCGTTAATTTCGGTGGGTTTGTACTAGGGGAAATTAAATTTGTGGTCGAAATGGGTTTTAGTCGCCTTTAAGTCTTGTATGTACTCACCAGGTAACTTGTCAGGTAAGTTAGGGACCGTCCATAAATTATGCCACGCGAGAGGGGGGGAGGATGGAGGGTCCAAGGCTCCAATAATATCGTGCCTGAGGAGGTCTAGAAAATCCCGATTTTTAGATGACATCATTTATGTATCTCCCCGAACTCGGAGATTTTGGTCACATTTTAATCGTGCATTTAATTTGCATCGTACATACTTTCCTCGTATTTAGGTGTGTCACCTCATTTGCTTAAATCTCACCATGCCCATTTTCGGCGATACGGGTTTTTCATGTTGAATAAACTCTAATCTGTCTCTCGTGAATGCGTCAAAATATGCAAATGGGATGACCGACTATAAAAATTCGACAGTACAATGTGCATTTAGCTGATTCGAGCTTAATTGGTTTTCAACTTATCGTTAAATGTCAACAATTCTGAATTAAGGGAATCATGATGACATTTTCTCAGAAATCTCAGATGCTAAGATTGAATTCTATTTGGCAAGGTTTTGTCGTAAATAAATGATGGCATTCTTATTTTACATGTGCCAACATTGGATGCCTACATATGTACGTAAACCGATTTGCCCGTTCTGTTGACAGAAATAAGTACTCTGTTTATGTAGAGAGAGACTCAGATGCTGAGCTGTGTGGAAAGTAGTGGAAGAAATTTGTTGACGTAGGGAAACACAAGTTTGGTGAAATTGGAGAAAGTCAATTTTATGTAGGAGGACATCATCGAGAAGAAAAAGTTGTGTCTACCGTGTACCTAAATTATCTCGCAAGGCACATTTCAGACATGTTTTTCACGGATCTGCTCGCTAAAATGTAAAAAATTACAGATTCATATAGCCCGAGTCAATAATTGAGGTAGGTATAATTTAATACGACCACGACAATTTTTTATTATTTTTACACACATTTTTCTCATCTTCAAACTTGATTCTTTATTTTGCATATTCTTCTGTGTGTGCAAAATTATATGATAAGTTTTACGCGCATAATCGATAGACAGACAGACAGACAACCATGACGGATACATAAGCCTGACTAGGGCTAAAAATCAAGAAGCTAGCCACAAACAAAAGTGAGCACTTCTGCAAAATTCACGGAAGGCTGTAAATTGGCAAAAACGCGCATTTTCACCCCGGAAAGCGGACAGATGAACGTCCCATATAGTAAAAATTCGCATTTATGCCAACTTAAATTCGTGAATTTTGCAGAAGTGGTCAAGTGTCACGCTAACTCTGTTGTTTGTGTTTAGTTAAGATCCGTGAGAAACATGTCTGACATGCACATTGTCCGCAGTCGGATGAAGAGGTCTCTCGAGAAACTTAATTTGCAGCAGCAGCAGGACATTTCACTTTCCAATTTGGCGAATGGGTTGTCCACATTATTGATAAGTAGGTACGTACGTAAAATGAGAACGGAAGGGAAAGCAAGTGTACAATTCTTTAATCTGCAATGGACAGGATATTAATTGTCAAAAGTGTGTATTAAATCCCTTTCCAAATTTTGTACATTTGTTCAAACTAAAAACTCACAGCTTGTCTTTTTCCCTGAGGACAGAGGAGTTAGCAAATTGAATGGACAGGACGTTACGTGGGTGAGCGCAGTGGCCGCGGAAGGGTGTGGACACAGGGACAATGTCCCCACGGTTGTTCAATGTCCCCACCGTCTGCCCATGTTATATACGTAAACCCCTATCCTACAACCCTATCCTACGTGACCGGATACGTACACGTGAGCTAAAACTTTCTCCCTCCATTTGAGCAGAAGATAAGCCCCGTGTT